TGAACACATCGGACTACCAAGCAAAACTATCAAATCTACTCCAAGACCCTACCTACCAACCTATAAAAACAGATCCCACCACCTATCTGGAAAAAACCACCAAATCCAAAATAAAAGCCTCTCCTATCAGTGAAGAAATCCAGCTAAGAATCATCCCCAGAGAAAAATCATCCAGATGCCCCAAACTCTACGGCCTCCCCAAGATACACAAAGAAGGAACACCACTCAGACCAATAGTCAGCTCCATAGGCTCACCTCTACAAAATCTCGCTAAATTTCTCGCTAAGCAACTTCAGCCCTATGCAGAATCCATCCCTTCACACGTTACAAACTCCTTCCAGTTCATAGAAACAATAAAGAAGCAAAACCTACATCCCAATGACCTACTTGTGAGCTTCGATGTTGTATCTCTCTTCACACAAGTGCCCATTAATGAAGCCTTGACAGCCATTCAAAACAAATACAATCCCCCCGAATACATCCTGGACCTGACCAACCACTGCCTAACCAACACGTACTTCATCCACAATGGACAAAGATACAAACAGATAGAAGGAGCACCTATGGGATCACCACTCTCACCGGTCATCGCAAACCTGTACATGGAACACTTTGAAACCAATGCTTTAGACAAGTCAGAACACAAACCCAAACTTTGGCTCAGATATGTTGACGACACCTTTGTAATTTGGCCACACGGGAAGGAAAAACTAGATAGCTTCCTCACACATCTCAACAGCCTACACCCCAAAATACAATTCACTATGGAAATAGAAGCCAACAACCAACTTCCCTTCCTTGACGTCCTAATCTACAAAAAACCTGATGGCTCCCTAGGACACACTATCTACCGGAAAAAAAACACACACCAACCGCTACTTACATGCACAATCACACCACCACCCTGCACAAATAAACTCCGTAGCCAAGACTCTCATCTCCAGAACCAAACGCCTGGCTGACAAAGACCACTTGACAACTGAGTTACAGAATCTCTCCAATGTGTTAATCGCCAATGGATACCAGCAAAACAGGGTTATGAAGCTAATGCAAAAAGAAACACCCCCCAAAAACCAAGACACAGAAGAAAACAATGGCATGGCCCTCCTTCCTTATATCAAGGGCACTACAGATAAAATTAGCAAAATCCTCCATAAACACAATATCAAAACAGCCTTTTGCACCAACCAAAAAATAGCCAATATCCTCAGAAACCCCAAGGATAAAATCCAGTTGGAAAACCAAGGGGTCTATGAAATACCCTGCAAAGTCTGCCCAGCCACGTACATTGGACAAACAAACAGACGAATAAATGCACGTATCGCAGAACACAAGAATGCCGTCAAAAAAGAAGAAAAAACTTCCTCTCTTTTCCAACACATGAAAGAAACAGGACACGAAATTAATTTTGCAGATTCCAAATTGCTCTCTAACTTGGAACATCACCACAAGAGAATAATCATGGAAGCCATCGAGATAGAGAAACACCCTCACAACATGAACAAGCGTGACGACACATCCCGCCTGCCAGACATCTGGAAATTAGCCCTCCCCACAAAAACCGACACCAGATCCAGAGGCACACAGAACGCCATCACCAATCAACCACACCAGACCCAAACCCAGACCCTCTCCACAGATAAATTACAGACACCATCCAGTAGCCAAACCATGGTGGCACCTCCGGATGCTGCACCCCCCTGCAATCCCTACACAGATCTGGCTGGCACAGGACACAAAACCACAGCTCGCCCCTATACACGAAGCCAAGCCAGAGCACAACTAAGTGCAGTACAGCCATCTTCTCAGAAAAACTCTTCACAAAGTTCAAGAGGTCAAGACACGAAGGCTTTAGCAACTAATCCACACCTAATGACCCACCTAAGTGGTACTCAGGATATCACTCAAGAAATCACTCAAGATATCCCTCAAGTAATTAAGGAACAAAAGAAGAAAAGGCACACTAGCCTGGGAACTTCCTCTCTGCCCAGAACATTGGAGGCTATACACCACACCCCCTCAACAGTATTTATAGGAACTCAAACACTGAGATCCTGCTCTGTTCCAGTAACAAGAAGCCGAAAACACCAGCCTGAAGATGACGAGTGAGACCTCGTCGAAACGTCGCCTAGACACCCCAACTTTTACACGGGAAGACACCCGAGGACACCAAAACCTGCATTCCTGTACCCGTGAAAATCTACGAAAGCATATATATATATATATATATATATATATATATATATATATATGAAAGAAGCAAAAAAAACAACAACACAAAAAAGGTAAATAAAAGTACCAAAATCTGTAGAACTAAAACCAAATGAATTAATCATCTTTTAAAAATTAGTTTGACAGATGGGAAGTTCCACACATAACTTTATGAAAACAAGGAGCAATACAGTATGAGTCTAAGGGCCACTTATATTATATATTAGGTGTATACCTATTGTTATCAGGGAACAGCGATTCACTACAGCTGTTTACTTAGCATATTTAAAAGCATCTTAGTCCAGTCTTTGATTCCTGAATTCTGATTCAACAGTGCTCAGCCAATGAGCTCTAAGGAGCACACTCATCATAGCATGAAGGCAATATGCTTTTTATTCGTTTTGATTGTATTCAGTAAAGTCCTACTCAGAGTATACCGACTGGAATTAATGAGCCTAAGTTAGGTAAAGATAAAGGGATCCCTGACCATTAGGTCCAGTCATGATCAACTCTAGGGTTGCGGCGCTCATCTCGCTTTATTGGCCGAGGGAGCCGGCGTACAGCTTCCGGGTCATGTGGCCAGCATGACGAAGCCACTTCTGGTGAACCAGAGCAGCGCATGGAAACGCTGTTTACCTTCCCGCCGGAGCGGTACCTATTTATCTACTTGCACTTTGACGTATTTCGAACTGCTAGGTTGGCAGGAGCAGGGACTGAGCAACAGGAGCTCACCCCGTTGCGGGGATTCAAACTGCTGACCTTCTGATCGGCAAGTCCTAGGCTCTATGGCTTAACCCACAGCGCCACCCACGTCCATATTCTATTATAGTATTTGCCAAAATCATAATCCATTTCATAGTTGCAGCTACACATGACCAGCTGACAGTAATGTCTTGCTGGTGGGTTTCCCATAGACCACTATGGGAACAAAATGCTAGACTAGATAGTACCATGGTTGCTGTGCTTATACCTGCAGACTTTTCCTGTATGGAGCACATAAAATGGGAAAGGAAGAGAACTACCGGTATTCCCAAACACTCATAAGGACAGATGGATGCCAACAATTCTGGGCAATTGCAATTGAGCCACATATCCCGGGCACATGTCTGTCACATGTATGGAAATGAGCACATTGCCCTTTCACACTTACTACATTTTGCAACCAGAATTGCGTGTGGAGGAAGAAAGGGAGAAATCATTCTTTTGCAACTGTTCATGTCCGTAAGGGGATGGTGTGGGGCTAGCCATTAACTAATCAAATTTCAGAATACTCTAGCATTAAATGGTGACTCTGTTTTTACTGTTTTACTCTGTGTTTACTGTTTTAACTGCTTTTGAACATAATAGACCTGCTGGATTACAGTGGTACCTCGGGTTACATACGCTTCAGGTTACAGACTCCGCTAACCCAGAAATAGTGCTTCAGGTTAAGAACTTTGCTTCAGGATGAGAACAGAAATCGTGCTCCGGCGGCACAGCGGCAGCAGCAGGAGGCCCCATTAGCTAAAGTGGTGCTTCAGGTTAAGAACCGTTTCAGGTTAAGAACGGACCTCCGGAACGAATGAAGTACTTAACCTGAGGTACCACTGTATCTAGTCCTGCATCCTGTTCTCACAGTGGCCAGCTAGATGCCTATGGGAAGCCCACAAGCGGCACCTGAAAGCAGCAGCTCTTTCCACACTTGTGGACTCCGAGCAACAGTGGAATTCTGCTCACAGATCTTTCTGGATCCATCCAACCCCAACCCAAAAACATTTCAACATTAACACTTCGGTGGTGAATTGCATGATGAGGTAACAAGTGATACGGAGTCCTATATGGATGAAATTTGAATGTGGAAGAGAACAGTGTGAGAGTCTGCTATTTATTGCACGTGGATTAATCTTAAAAGGACACTGGTGCCAAATTAAGTCAAGTTCAGTATCATTGATGTCAAGTAACCTGTACTAAGAAGTGGGGGGTGGGGGTGGGCGGGAACAAGTTATTTGATGAGATCAATTCACAGCTATATAACTTGGGCAGCATTTTTGCAGCCACTTGACTTTGTTGAGATGGAAGGAGCTGGAAGTGGTCGAAGTGATTCCACCCTAACAGCAAACCTAAGCAATGCGCTTGCTTTCCAAACAGCTTAAAATAATAAATCAAATCAAATCAAATCTCTAAAACCCTTGTAATGGGCTGTCAGGCAAGCTGATTATCTTTTCAGCAGTCTTTTATTAAGTTAATACCTACAGATGCTCCCTCGGCTGATGCCAACAGGTAATCTATTCTGGAAGATGCTTGTTCAATGACTTTTGATGGCTGCTGGTTGCTGGTCACATGTACTGAACACAGAGGTTGAGTGTTTTGTTTATATGGAAGTGTGGGTGACTAGAGAGAAAAATCAGCGTAGGTAGGTAGCTAACAAAGGGAAGGGAAGTTTTTGGGTTTTGTGGTTGCCCTGATGTTGCCTTGCCTTGCCTTTTTTTTTTTTTTTTTGGAGGGGGGACTGGTGCTTTTAAAAATACTAACTACTGTATATATCTATTGGTTTGCTTGCTTCCCCAAGTAACTCACGTATTTGTAAAAGGCTCAAGTCTCCTGTTCTTTCACCTCACGAGGAAGTTTGCCCTGTGAAAGGCAGCACCCATGAAAATTCCTTTTGTTTGGGGAAGGGGGAACTGAGGGGGGAAACTATCAAAACTGCGCTGATTGTGAGAAGAAATACCACATAAATTATTTCTTGGGAAATGCTTAGTGACACTTAGAACTGATTAACATTTCTGTGCTTTCTTTTGTTCTCATTCAAGGGGGAATCTTTTCAAGGCACCCTATTCAGGCTAAATGTAAAACTTTCAAAATGCCTTGGCCTTGAAGTGCACAGAGATACATGAGGATGGATACATCAGCGGAAAATGGTTTAAAAATATGTCAGTGTAAGTCCCCCCACCCCACCCTAGCCAAGTAGATTGTAAGTCTGCCGGTTTATCAACAAATAAAGATACAATATTGTTTAGTGCTACCTACTTCTCAAATCACAAAAGTGGTTTTTGTGAGGGCTAGACAATACAGAGCAAGAATGTATGTTTAAAGATGCATTTTTTCGCCAGGTTTTTTCTGACGAAGAACAATGCATTGCTATGATTTTATAATTATGTTTTAAATTTCATGAGCTTAGTGAAATAAATTATGTGGCTTTGCTAGATCTTAAATAGTTTTGTTCCACTTTAGAACCACAGCTGGAAGAAATTAGGAAGACATATATTTTGTTTTTCTTTCAAGAGAAAGAAAAAATTATGAAATTACTTTCTGATCCTATGCATGTTTACACTGAGTTCAGTGGTACTTATTTCCAATTAAATGTGTATAGGATTGCAGCTTTAATTTCACTACGCCTCTGCTATGACATTCATAATCAGTAAATGTGAGCTATAGTGGCCCAAGAGAGGAAGATTTCGATTTCATCTCCGGTCTGCTGTTCACAGTATAACAATCTCACTGAATGCAGCTCCTTTGGTCTCTGCCAGCTCTCACGTTCAACCAGCTTTTAAAGAATGCTTTGTATGCCGGAAAAAAACCCTGGTTCAATCTCTTCTGTGTCTAGGTAAGGCTGGAAAAAGCACCAACGAGCCAGTTAATGTAGACCAACCAATTGTATGTCTCAATATGTCAGCTTCCTAAATTTATATTGGGCACTATATTTTATTTGGTGTGTGTTCCCCAGAGAAGTACTGTGCGCTTGCATTAGATCTGCACCCTCTGCCATTGACTTTTGGCTTTTTCACTGCAAGTTTTGAAATGCAGAAGCTCTGATGATGATGATAATAATAATAATAATAATAATAATAATAATAATATTTTTTATTTATATCCCGCCCTTCCCAGCTGAAGCCAGGCTCAGGGCAGCTAACAACAATAAAATAATACAACATTCTAAAATCATTTCATTATAAAATTACCGTAATTCAAATCAAATTGATGGCAACCATTGGGCTAGAGTTCTGTGAAGATTGCCAAAGGAGGGAGTCAGGCTGTGCCCTGGCCAAAGGCCTGGTGGAACAGCTCTGTCTTGCAGGCCCTGCGGAAAGATGTCAACCATAGATTGGTTATCTGCACATTCGGCTGCGTAACTTTGATGGTGTGCCATGGAGATTAAGACTACATTCTTATGCACACCTACCCAGCAGCAACAAGCACAGGAAGACCTTTCTCTCCTTAGTAAAGATTAATGGGATTGGGCTGCACAAATTACGGTATCTCTGATGACTCAGACATAATTTTGCAGTGACAAAGCTCTTGCGGATTAACGAAACAGAAAAACAAAAACACCAAAAGAGGCTTGCTACAGCCCTGTGCCTTGAGGTCACTGATCAGTGTTGCATCATCTGCATTGCTGTGGGATTATGTGTACTTTCAAATTAAGAACAACACGGCTAAAGTGAATGCCAGTCTTTCACTTTTGCGCAGATGTTATAATTACATTTATATGTTAACTATGTGGGAATTGGAAGTTATGCAAAACGAATAGTTTTAACTCAGAGTTGAGTATCCATGGGAAAGGGCTATAGCTCAATGGTACAGCAACCGTGTTACATGCAGAAGTCAAATTTCCAGCATCTCCAGGTCAGAGATGCTGCCAGCCTGTGTAGACAATGTTGAGCTGAATGGACCAGTAGCCTGACACCTTTCTGTGATACATGGAAAAATGTCTCTCATTCTAGTACAGAAGTGGTGTGTGTGCATGCAGTCATCAGATTGCGAACAACATTCTTTGGAACAAGAAATTTGCCTTTGCTCATATATGTGAGTTTCATAAATTTGTGATTCTCAAAAAGAGAGGTACATGTGTGTCCCTGTGCACTTTTGTGTGTTCAAGGAGAGGAGGTTTACCTTGACCTCCCCTCCTCTTAATGCATCAGTTTAGGTTTTGTTTTTTGTTTTGTATTTCTTTTTTTCTCTTTTTTTAAAAAGATTTTTATTGATACAACAAGGAAAAAAAACCAAAAATACCAAATTACACACAAGAATAACTATAGACACATAATTTTCTTAGCAAACAATAAAACATATATTGGTCTTAATACTAAAGACCCATCTATTCCATATTTCAATTTCATATTACCGTACTTATTGCCAATACATACTTTTATCATAATTAAACTTATTCTTAATATATCTAATTTCTTATATCTACCTTGCAACTATTACTGAAGTTCCTCGAATGTATTTCTTATTGAATTGAGAGCCATTGTCAGGTGTGGCATATATCAGATGGGGTGCAGAGATCTCAGTCAGGATAAGATTCTCAGAAAGGGTTGACTGCCTTGTACTTGGATAAATAATGAGATTAAATAGTGAAACGAAACAAAAATACCACAGTGTGTTTTGAGAGCATTTGTTGAGGTTCCATTTTTAGGACTCAAGCCTCCAAAAGAAGGATATAGCAATGCTAGCAGCACAGATAATTCAATTCCCCCACTCCCACTCCTCCACCCAGCTCAGAAAAGGGACTAAAGTCTCTGGCATGTATTCTTCCTTCATACGTCTAAATAATGGTTTCTAACAACTGCCATTTAGTGTATTTTAGCTAAAAATGTAAATCATCTTAAGAAAAAAAATTAGATTTACCATATGGAGATTGGCGTAATTCTTCCCTGGCCTCTCTAAATGATGCTTGTGACTGGTGTAATACAGTTACTAACTGTGCAAATCTATATATGTCTGCTGTAAAGTAAGATGCATTGAGGTCAATGAGACCTATTCCTAGGCACGTCAGGCTACAATTCAGGCTAAGAGAGTGTGTTGGGAAAGGCCTAGTTCAGATCACATCCCAAAATAAATGAATGACCTTGGGTAAGCCTCATTCTTTCCACCTCAGCCCATTCTGTACCATACTTTTGGTCTGTCTTCCAGGACTGTTGAAATCACCAGGCCATTAAACTATTCAGAAGCAGTTGTGAGCACGAGATGTCTGTCCCTTCCTTTCTAGTATTCTTATCGTGGGATTGGGATACCTCATATATGTTCGTTCTTCACAATGTCTACCCAGCATCATTGGGATCAAAATGGCAGCCTGATGCTGAAAGGCCAACAATGTAGGCCCCACAGGCAGACCTTCATGGGGAAACCATTTCATAATGGGGTGCTACAACCAAGAGGGCCCTGTCTCCAAGTGTCATCTGCCATCATCACTTCAGACAATAAGACACCTAGAGGAGGACCTCCAATGATTACCTGAGGACATAGGCAGGCAAATGTTGGTGTTGACAAGCCCTCAGGTATCCATGTACAAAACCATAAAAGTACTTCCCTCTTCCCTTAGAATTCCCCCTCCAGTAAGCATATAGTCCTACTTCTTCTCCTTTCTCTTCCCTTTTCTGACCTAGATCAGCTATGAACATCTCTGGAGCAGCTATCCAACTTACATTTGCTCCTAAGGTGATTTAAACCCCCTTAGTGTGGTCTTCAGACCACCAGTGGTCCATGGGCTTCTATGAAGTGGTCCACAGTGGTACTGCAATGTGGTGTAATTTCTCTTATTTCTTATTGTATTGACATTTTGAATGGCATTTTTAAAAAAGAACAGTGCATTACAATTGCTCAACAATAGGCAGGGTGGGGACATTAAACCGTCTTCTAAGACTCTCAGCCGTTTTTGGGGACTGGGGAGGAAGTTTGGGAACCACTAGTATCAATGCTAATTTCCACTTCCCACATTCAAAGCCCATTCTTTCCCTCAAAGAATTCTGGGCACTGTGGTTTCTGAAGGGTTGCTGGAATTGTAACTCTCTGAGGAGTAAACTCTAGCATCCAGAAGTATTTGAGAGGAAAATACACTTTCTAACATTTCAGATTTCAGATGGGCAGAGAGATTTTAATCCACGTAGTAGAAAGATTCAGCAAATCCCAAAGGCCCTCTCTTGGATTCTGTTCAAGTTTATATTGCAAATAAATAAAATATAGGGTATTTTAAAAGGGCATTTCCCTGGGACGCGGGTGGCGCTGTGGGTAAAAGCCTCAGCGCCTAGGGCTTGCCGATCGAAAGGTCGGCGGTTCGAATCCCCGCGGTGGGGTGCGCTCCCGTCGTTCGGTCCCAGCGCCTGCCAACCTAGCAGTTCGAAAGCACCCCCGGGTGCAAGTAGATAAATAGGGACCGCTTACAAGCGGGAAGGTAAACGGCGTTTCCGTGTGCGGCTCTGGCTCGCCAGAGCAGCGATGTCACGCTGGCCACGTGACCCGGAAGTGTCTCCGGACAGCGCTGGCCCACGGCCTATAGAGTGAGATGGGCGCACAACCCTAGAGTCTGGCAAGACTAGCCCGTACGGGCAGGGGTACCTTTACCTTTACCCTTTAAAAGGGCATTTGTTGTGACTATTTTCTTTTCTGCTTCACAGTACATATAATGATGTTATTAGTTACATGAAACTTGAATTATTATTTTTATATCTGGCTTGTCACTTCTCATCTAGATCCCAACCTTTTCATGAAGATAATTAAGAATCTTGTGCAAAGACATCCAGTCTGTGACATCTACATATTATTAGCATCATAAAATAGTTTTCAATTAATTTTTTAATTTTTTTTTAAAGTTATGAGGTAGGTTTTCAACCCTGATTAAGTATTCCTGATTCATGCATGATTTCTGGGAAATCTCTGTGGCTGAACTTGTGCAATTGCCACCTCTTGGGTTTGTTTTTCAATTATGATCGCTTTCCTCCAATTTATAGCTGCAGCCATTCTTATGTTATCATAGTGATTTATCTGCTCAGGAATTCTGGTGGTTTTTTTTTATCTGCTGATTGCTTTAGTGAATTCTATCATAAAGGTGATGACACAATGTCAGTTGACTGGCTAACCTAATCATTAGATCTATAGTAACACTATAGTTTGTTTTTCCAGGCAATTGCTATGTTAATTTGCCACACTGTCAACCTACAGAAGGTGGAAATAACAGTGTATGACAACTGCATTACTTCAGCAGCATCATAAACGAGAGTGGCAGCTGGGAATGTTT